AATGAATCTCCAGCTGCAGGATATCTACCAACCACCCAACGCAGACAGATGTGGCACAAGGCTGAATTTAATGGTGGGTATCCGAGCCCGTAGGCTCAACCAAAAGTTTCCCGTAGACTCCGTATAAAATGGGGTCGGGTAGCTATTTCCCGAGACGAGACTTTGACCTTCGACATAGCCTTATCTGAGGAACTTCCCTTCCGTCAGAGAGTTTGACCTGCAGAGCTGGAGACGAATCTCCAACTGCATGCTAACATACAGTATTTACTACTGTGTTTATACGAACGGGGACATACTCATTATATTCCGTAGGTATGCTACGACACAAGTAAAGGCTTATACTCCTAAATAATAAACGATCTCTCTCCGACCCAAGTAAGCAAAGAATTCAAAACCGTGGAGGAGGCAACATGAAATCGCGACGTTATGTTTTTCTAAAAACAATTATGGTAATGCAAAAATTACAGAAATAGAGGAGGAACCACAATCATTTATTTCCTGAAGAGAAATAACAATTAAAGAGATAGATGACTGAACATGTCTTCCCAGATATCGTTTTTCTTTACCTGAAGATACATCTTGGATATAATAATTTTCACCTTTCAGTCAAATCTGCTATCCTCACACATTCACAAATATATAGAATATATTGATGCATTTCATAAAAAGAGACGAAATCTTGTACAGTTTGAAAAAATTTCGACCGCATGAACAAAAAACACAAAAGCATTATTCAAGGAACTTATAGCACCAATGAGTAACCATTAATCATTCTGCTATTTTTTTCCGATTCTCCGTAACATTCTTGTTATGATTTATAGCAATAATAGTAGTTATTTCTCAATGTTTCGATACTTTTAATTAATTTTATTGTTATTTTATCACAATACTCTAGGTCGATATACTAGTCATATTTTTATTTTATTACTAGTTATACTACATCTTATTATTGTTGCTTATTATCACTAACATTGATTAAGTACACACTTCATTATTTTACTATTTTATTATTGGTTTTATGTCATCTTATAGCGACTTTATATCACAGAAATCTAGGTCAATACATTCTTCATTATTACTATTATTTCATTACTAGATTTACTCCATCTAATTTTTTTAAATCATTTCACCCCAAAAAAGGAAATAATGCCACTAAGACGCAAGAGATTACTGGGAGTGAAACAGAATGAGGAGACTTTAGTGAGGCGAAAGGACAATAAAAGAACAGGTTTCAGGAAGACAGAAGATGGTGATAATGCCACTAAGACGCAAGGTGTTACTGGAAGTGAAAGAGAATGAGAAGATTTTATTGAGGAGAAAGGACAATAAAAGAACAGGTTTCAGGGGGCAGGAGATGGTAATTGGTTTTGTATTTTTTATTCTTGCATTTTATCGCAACACTCTTCATTATAAATATTATTTTATTACTAGTTTTATTCTGTCTTATTGTGGGGTTTTATCTGGAGAGTAAATGTTGCCAAAGCTTAAAAATCTAATAAGAGTAAGACTAAAAAACCTACACTAATATGATGAAGTAAAACTTAAAATACTTGTAGTAATGATGACTAAATTCACCAAGATTGTTGGTATAAAAATAATATAATTCGTAGTAGTAGTAGTAGTAGTAGTAATAATAATAATAATAATAATAATAATATAATAATTTCTTGATCAGTTTTGTTAGCTATATAAGTAAATTACTTAAGGTGCTAATTCAGAAAATCTACATTGCTGATTATTTCTATTACCTAACAGAACAATAATGATATATGCATATGCACATTTATTATTATAATATTATAATAATATGATAATATAATAATGTTTATTATAATAATGATGTATATAATAATATAATAATGTATATAATAATATGATAATGTAGATAATAATGCGTATCTCTATCTGATCATTATCTATTTTTCTATCTATCTACTTATCTATCTATTTATCTATATCAGTCTGTTCATTATCTATCTATCTCTTCATATCTAATTCAGTCTTTTCATATCTGTCTTTATATCTATTTACCTGTGTTTATATCTATTTCAATCTTTTTTATATCTACGAATCTATCTACCTCATTTTGTTCATTATCAGTCTATCACAATCTAATAATTATCTACCTATCTATCTATATATGCCAGTCTGTTCACTACCAATCTATCTATCTCTTTATTTGTATGTCTCTCTGTCTCTTCATATCTATTTCAATCTCTTCATAAATATCTATCTATCTCTGTCGGTCAACTGTTATCTGTCCTATATATACTCATAACTTTCTGTTGCTTCCTACATACAACAAGCTCAATTCATTATTCCACACATTGAGTGATTCTTTGGCTTTATATTGGGTAAAAATTTAATAAAAATGGCATATCTAACTATCGCAGTCTGTTCAACTATCTATCTATACATCTATCTATCTATCTATCTCAGTCTATTCATCGTCTATCTGTCTATATATCTGTCACAATCTGATCATTATCTACCTATCCATCTGTGCCAGTCTATCTATCTATCTATCTATCTATCTATCTATCTATCTATCTATCTATCTATCTATTTGTCTGAAAACGACTGACAAGGTAATGTGATTAAGCTTTTCTACTATATTTTTCTTGTATTTGTACAAAGTATTTCATTTGGGGCATCAAGAATGTCCGCAATATACTCGCGGAAAACACGATACATTCATCTAACTTAAGAAAACGCTTAAAAATAATAGAAGCCATAATATTGAAAAATAAGAAATCAACTGACCATTATCTACCTATCCATCTGTGCCAGTCTATCTATCTATCTATCTATCTATCTATCTATCTATCTATCTAAGTATCTTCATATCTATTCCAATCTTTTCAGTTCTATCTATCATTTAATATTTATCTCTGGGTGTATAAATCTATATTTCAGATTTTATTTATTTGTCTTTCTTAAATATATTTATTTATGCATGTATTTAAATGTCTGCTTATTTGCGTGTCCCTATTTTTGTTAATAAGTATTTTTATAAACATTCTCATTTGTTTATTTATTATTTTTAATATCTTCATTCTTTCTCTTTTTCCTTCTTTATTTCTGATTTCTTTTTCTGTCTCTCTTTGACTTCTTTTAGTTTTAATATTCCTACCACAACTTTTTCCATTATGCCTTCTTTCCTACGTACCAATCTGTCTTTCAGCTCCTTGCCAAGGTTTTCATTGTTGCTCTAACCAACCTTTTTAAAAAAAAAATAAGTGGTAATTTCTAATCAGTAAACATACCATTTAAGCTATCAATCATTTTATTTCTATTTCACGTTTTCATTTATCGGTACTCTGGTAATATTCTCCCCGAATTACACATCTGCAATTATTTTTCTTTTTTATTTCTTATTCACTTTCGATCATTCCTATTACCACATTATTTCGCTCACCTTTACTACCATACTATAATGTTATTTATATCACTTTTTTTCTCTTCTTTCTCCTCCGTCTTACCATCCTTAACCAGGCTAATATAGTATTCAATATAATTTTCATAATCATTCTTTCAGAACTTCAAACCTTTCCATAATGTTTAATATCTATCTATCTATCTATCTATCTATCTATCTATCTATCTATCTATCTATCTATATATCTATCTATCTATCTATCTCAATCTATGTCAATTTGTTAATATCTATCTATCTATTGTCAGTCTATTAGTATCTATCTTTTTTCAGATCTATCTATCTATCACTCTCTCCTTTTCAATGCTGATCCCTATATCTATTGTCCCTAATATTGTTTGTCAAAATCTTAAAACTCTTATTATCATAGTATCTATAGAATTGACTAGTATCACACACACACACACACATATATATATATATATATATATATATATCATATATATATATATATATATATATATATATATATATATATATATATATATATATATATATATATATATATATATATATTCTCTCTCTTTTTTATTTTTCCCCCCATCTCTTGTGTGTGTTTCTTTAAACATACTCTGTTTCTCTCAGTACTACAAAACTCTTTCTACTACCGTGTCCCTATCAATATAACTCTCCCCTTCTTCGTAAAGGACGAACTATATGACAAGCGCAGTAAGTTAGGAATAAGATCGTGCACATAGTTAGAAACTTCAATTGGCCGACGGACCATAATCCTTTTCTACGCGACCCTTTAGTTGATCGATGAGGTGAAGCTGTCAACGTCCGGTAAGACCCAAGAGCACCGACGGAGGCCAATGATGGAGCGAGTGGTTGTGAGTTATGTTACAGGGGAAGGGTTGATAGAAACTAGAGTTGGTTGGGAATGTTGATATAGTTTGGAGATGATAAAGATGAGTGTGGAGAGTTTGCGAATTTTAAGGGAGTCATGGTAGATGGAATGAATCTGTTGAGAAAGTGACTGGGATATAAATGGACAGACAGATTGACAGAGAGAGTAAAATAAAAATGAAAAAATATATGCATTCAAAAGCAATAATCCTCCCATTCTAAAATCACTATTTTTTCTTTCTATTCTATGTCTTTTTCATCTTTTTCGTCTTTTTTTATCCATTGACTTTTTATTTTATTTTCGTTTACATTAAATCGAACACACAGTCGCTATACGTATGCATATATGTTTGTATACTTAAACCTATATATTTGTGCATACACAATTACTTGTCCCAACATATACATACACATATATAAACTCACACACATATATGGATGAATATATAAATAGTAGATATTCAACTATCTCTTTATAGCCGACAAAACAATAGTTGAATATACATACACACACACACACACACATATAATTTTTTCAGGTGGCCTGACGATTGCGTCCAGCATGAAACAGGCTGTCGCCTCTGAGTGCTGACTTCCATGTTCACTTTTAGATAGATAGATAGATAGATAGATAGATAGATAGATAGATAGATATGCAGGTACATTCGAAATATATACATACATATATATATATATATATATTCACATATATATATACTCATGTACAGAGAGATAGATAGATAGATAGATAGATAGATAGATAGATAGATAGATAGATAGATAGATAGATAGATAGATAGATGAAGAGAGTGAACGCATGCATAGATATTATAGATAGATTGATAGATACATAGATATGCAGGTAGATCCGTAGGTTATATATATATATATATATATATATAGATAGATAGATAGATAGATAGATAGATAGATAGAGAGAGAGAGAGAGAGAGAGAGAAATGATACAATATGATAATCCGTATGGATTTTCCAGGAGGATATAGATCCAGGAAGAGGTCCATCTCAAAAGACAGAGCAAAATTATTATTAATTAAAGATTATACATGTACATATATATGTATGTGTGTGAGTGTGTGTCTGTGTGTGCCTGTGTGTGTGTGTTTGCGTGTGTGTGTAATTCGCAACCGACAAGATTATAACAAATACTTACAAACAATCCTAGATGATACAACAAAATTCACTAAATTAAAGAAAAATCCCACAGATTAATTAAAAAGTACGTAAATAAACCTATCCCAGCGAACAACGCTGAGGTTGATCATTCAAAAATCAAGAAAATTGTCAGTGATTACCAACCAGGATATATATATGGTAATATATGTATGGTTATATATGTATGGTAATATATGTATGGTAATGTAAAAACCCATAAATCAGGTTTTCCTCTCCGAACTATCATAAAAATACCTACACTTGCATACTAAAAACCAAAAACCCTCAATCACATAATTTTTCCATACACACCAAATAATTACAGAATTGCATAAACAAATCAATTTCTCCATATCTTAAAAGCAACAAATCCCATCGGTAAACTCTATCATTGCCTAGCGTTGAAATTTTTTTTACCAACGTCTCCGTTGAAGAAACTATCAAATAATTATTGACTCCGTCTACAAACACCCTTGTAACCCTCTACCTAAAATTCGAGCAAGAACTACTCGTAATCTACTCCTCGCCGTTACCATAAAAGCTCTATTTTATGATCATAATTGCAATACCTACATCAAAAGTAATGTTTTCTGTATAGGAAACCCTTTAAGTCCTGCTTTCTCTAACTTTTCCATGTCTTATATTGAAAACAAAAGGTTTAAAACAACTGATAAACCAGATGTCTACAAAAGGTACATTGATGACATTTTTTTTGCTTTAATAAAAAAAAATAACGACGAAATTATAAATCTAAAATCAACATTTGAAAAAAAATTAAACTCAGCAGTAAAATTTATATATGAACTCATGGCTAATAACAAAATATCATTCCTTGATGTTGATATAGAACTAAAATCCAAAAAATTTACCACTTAAAAAAAAACACTAGTACGAACCCTTTTCTATGATAGTCAATGCCCGGAAATATATATATTAGCAGTGATAACAAATTTCTTAAATAGAGAACACCAAAATTCCTTTTCTCAAAAAATATGTGTGAGCGAAGCAAAACTCATAAATTAAACATTAATCAACAAACAACATCATTAATTAACAAATAAAATTATTTTTAAAAATACACATCAATAATAAAAATACCACACAACAAAACAACATATTTTACTGTAACCAGATATACAATAATTATAATTATTTATAGCTTCGTCCACCGCAAGGAAAGTTGGCTCCCTGTGCCGCGCCAGGAAATTTTTTTCACCGGAGTCGATCCTTCAAATCTACAAATCAACAATTCGCCCTTGCATGGAATATTGCTGCCATATATGGTCTGGAGCCCCTTCTATTTGTCTCAAGGTTCTTGATAAGATCCAGAGACGGATATACAACGTAACTAGCCCTGATCTGACATCTCGTCTGCAGTCACTCTCTCACAGACGTGTCGTCGCCTCCCTCTGTCTTTTTTACAAATATTTTCATGGTAACTGCTCCAAGGAGCTGCTTTCACTAGTTCCCAGATTGTATGAATTTAAGCGTTCTACTAGGCTGGCATCTCGCTCTCACACTTTCACTGTCGAAACTGTTAAATGTAACCGTCTCTTCTACTCCAATAGCTTCATGTCTCGCACCTCTCGCCTGTGGAACTCCCTCCCCCTTTTCGATTTCCCTGAAAGCTATAATCACCAACTATTCAAATGTAATGCCAATCGACGTCTCCAGATGCCCTGATCTATCCCTTATCCTTCTCTTCATCCTTAAGCTCCAACTCTCTGTAACCCCTTGCGTGCTAGTGGCTTCCCGACCTGCTTGGGGTTGAATGCTTAAAAAAAAAGGCAGGACGAATTTGCTATACGAAGAATTATTAAACACCATATTTCTGACGTAATTCCTGAAAAACATAACCGCATCAAATCTAAAGTAGCGATGACCAATATAGTGTATCAATTTTACTTCCCAGTACAAGACTGTGTTTCTTGTCACAAATCAAATACCTATATCGGACACACTACCACATCCTTGAGTAGACGCCTTACGTGTCATTCATCTGACCATAGTGCCATAAAAATATTTATTAATCCATAACCTACAATAACTCTTAAGGAAAATTCTGATTGAAAACAGAAGAATTCTATATAAATCACATTATCAGAAACATCTTGCGATTCGAGAGGCCCTATATATCAAACAATTCTCTCCTACCACCAGCCTTACATTATCTAATAGTAAAAATAGAGTGTTGAATAGAGTGTTTTAAAAATAAAAAAATGCAAAGATGATCACAAATTCCAGTTGTGAGAGTTTGGAATGAACGCTCCTTTTCAAAAACAACACAAAATAATTTACAACGTAACAGACAAAGCATGAGAAAAAATAACAAACCAGAGACAAAGCACCCTTAAAAATGGCTATAGATGAGGCCAAAAACGCTTGGGGCAATAAAAAAATATATATGGAGAATTTTTGTATTACTTAATTCCTACAAAACGTTAAAAAAAAACATGTAACAATGTTGGATATAACTTGAGAAAAAATTAATTAAATCCTGCTTGTCGGCCGTGTTCGGTGAAAGATTTTTGAAAGAATGGTTGCTGCCAAAATATACGTTTTATATATATATATATATATATATATATATTTATATTTATATATATATACACCTAGTAGTATATATTTTCTAAGACAAACCTATATATATTTATATAAACGGATCGTCAGGAAAGTAAGGCCTTACTTTCCCTGACGATCCGTTTAGGTGAAACCTAGGTAGGTTTGTCTGGCTCACTAGGTGTATCTAGGTCTGTCTACGGTTGTATTGAGCTCTTTTGTTAGTTAGTTGTTACTCGTATCGGGTTTTTTTCTTTGGGCTTCAGACCTGCATCTGTGCGATTTTTTTTGTCGGCAGAAGTTCATGTTTGTAGCTCTTTCTTTTTTTTTTAAAACCTTTTTTCCCTCGAGATTGATTTGATTATTAGCTAATCAAAAATTGAGGGTTTTTCGAAACGAGTCTAGTTATCTATCTATCTATCTATATATATATATATATATATATATATATATATATATATATATATATATATATATATATATATAAATAAATAAACAAATTAAAAAATTAGAATAATCTTTCTCCCTCACACATATATTTAAATATATGTATATACCAAAAATTTAACACTCTTTCTCCCTTCATATCTGGCACGTAGAATATATTTTCTGTTTATAAGTTATTTTAATAAATACAATTTATTCAAGTAAATGCTGTTTTTTAATTCTTTACTTTATTTATTTCTTCTCTATGTTCAGGTATTATCCTCCTTTCTATTGTTTTTCTGTTTTTTTCTTTTCGTTTTTGTTTCATTCAATTCTTGACTATAGTATTTTTCTTTTATCATCTTCTCCCTTCTATTCCTCCGTTTTTCATTCTTTGTCTCTCTAATTTTCCATAGCTTAATTAACCTGTTTTTTACCACACTTTTTCTATTGACCTTTCCTTAGATGTAATTTTCGCTATCTTTTCAAACCTTTAATCTTTTTTCACTATTATGAATACCCTAGCTTCTCCTAACCTTTCTTCTTCGTCTAAGCAATTCCGTCGGCTCCTTTTCCCTATACAATTTTTATTCATTTCACCAACCCTAACCTTCCTCTGCACTCTCTCTCTCTCTCCTTCTCTTTCTCTTTCTCTTCCTCTCCCCACCTCTATCTCAGGCTCTCTCTCTTTCTCCCTCTCTCTCTCTCACTCACTCTCACTCTAGCACGCACACATTTTGATTCTAAGCTAATATAAAGACAAGTTCGGACAAGGGCAGTTAGAAATGCCAATGAACCTCTCAGCGATGACGTGAAAAGTCAATCAAAATGGCGGCAGAAAAAATGTTGCAAGTGTTTATGTCATTATTGGAAGGAAAAAACCTAAAGCGAGGTCAGTCCTCTGCGCTGCAAGGTGAAGGTCGACACGTCATCTTGACGAGCAAACCTTCCATTTTTGTTATTGTTACCCTTGTACTTTTCAATTCTTATTGTCCACTATAGCTCCTATGTTCAGTTTCTGTTTTCTTCTATGGAAACACTATTTTTTCCATATTTATCCACTTATTTACTCCTGTCCATGGCTAATTTCCACCGATAGAATTGGTTTTCATCGTGGTTGGTGTTATTGTTCAAATTATAATGTTCTTGTTGATGTTTGTGCATATTACTATTATAAGACATACATTTCATGCAAGCATACTTCCCAATATTTTTACTTATAATATACATATATAATTACTTATTTATATGCATATGCAAGTTTGCATGAAAATAGAAGCATATGCTTCTAATGATGCAAAGAAGATGAACGTTACTACGCCTATATAACTTAAATCAACAATTTTATTTTAATTAATAATAGGCGCGGTGGGGCAATGGATAACGGCTCGAATTCAGGAATCAATTGAGGAATCGGAGAACCGTGTTCGAATTCCAGTCGGATCCATTGTATTCATTTAGTTGCTAATATCCTTAAAAAGGTATGACTCTATCTCTTATAGCAGGACAGGCTAGACCCTAAAGCCTTGGAAGGAAAACTGAATTGCAACCACTTACTGTCTTATAGGTCTTGCCTTTTTAACCTCAACATTCCCGGTACAAAAGGAGCCGGCTCGTCATTGCACTATTCTGACAAGAAGGCCACAACGAACCACAACTGTGAGTTGAAGAGAAGTGGGTGTTCACGGTGGCGCAAAAAAAGTTGAATAAGTGATTATATTACAATGTTTTTATTATAACAAATTGTAATAAAACCATTTTACATCACTACACAAAAACTTTTGTTTTGTAACTATCTATAATGCTTTCTCTTCGGGAGATGGTAAATAACATATATATATATATATATATATATATATATATA